ATATATATATATATATATATATATATATATATATAAAGAAATTAGAATTATTTCCAAATTTTCTCCAAATGAGTATACACCTATTACCTGGTCGTATGATGGAAAATAACTCATCTATTACAAGGATATCACTTCTACATGTCATTGATTAATTGAACGTGTGTTCTTATCACCACTGCAGGTAAGCTGCTTAGGTTTTGCTGTGAGCAGGGTGCATCTTGCGAGGTGTCTGGCATAAAGGTTGGCCTAATAAAATCTGTTTCTATCCGTTTGTACATTGGCATGTTTTCTGCTATAAATAGAGACATCTAATTCTATCTCAGAACAGGTTCTTTAATTAACATGAGTCAGAATCAAAAGATGGTGATCATCTACTTGACTTAGAGGTGATGGTCTGAACAACTATACTATTGGATTGGAAGCAGCTGCATATTCTACTGATGACATTTTATGACACACCCAGTTTCAACAACATATTTTGAGGATGTTGATCATAAAATTTTGACAACCAACATGTTAACTATGTTCAGTGTGGCCACCAATCATGTCTAGTATTGCTTTCATTTTGCTTGGTAGTCAAGATAATGGGTACATCACAGTGAATCAGAGGCTTGAGGTGGCTCCATGGTCAAAAATCAACAAGAGTGAGAAAATGGAAACTGTACCGTTTCATATGTGTGCAAAATGTAGTTCTGATACATTCCATTCCAATTTGACTCTATATCAGTTGTGGTTGTCATATGACTTGCTGATTTGCATATTCAAAGTCATTTAATATAATGTACTCTATGAGAACAATTCTAATGTTCAGGGATAAATGGCACAAGTCATTTCTAAGGGTAGAATAAATCCTGACCTACTTGATGCTGTTTTTATACAACCATCAGTATGTAAGTTGCACATATTTATTACTCCCAATGAAATATACAATTGACATTGGAATGATGATTAATTTTTGAGCTATGGTAGAATAGGACAATTAACTTTATGATAATGTGTATACAAACATTCATATTACACACCTCTAGCATAAAGTCTCCAGGCTTTGTACAGCCAGCTACTCCTTCTGTAGCAACTATGCTGTCCAACTCCTCCTCCAGTTCACAGAACATAACTTTAAGAATGGAGAGGTCAGCAAGTGTGAAATCTGGTGCTCCCGAGTCTTGAGAAAAATCCAGATTATTTATGTCTTTCATTTTGTCTATAACTTGGGATACCTAAAATAAAAGTATTAAAAACAAATTTCATTCAAACAAATAATAAGTTAACTTTCCCTTTCTGAATACAAAAATCAAGCATGATCTAAAATTAACTAAATGTTTTTGGAATCATAATAAACCCACAGTGCAGGACCAAAGCATGCATTTAGCTGCATGTGTAACTGTCAAAAGTGTGATATCAGCAGTTTATGATTATGCAAGAAGTATTTTACTTATTAGAAAGTTCAATCTAAATATCTAAAATATACTGTTCTGTATGTAAAATGATATGAATAATATGATATATATATATATATATATACACACACACACTAGAGTG